TGGGGATCAACTTATTTGATTGATGGGGCAGTCGGGAGGGCCTCTCCCTATGACCTTAATTCCCGAGCAGGAAGATATGGGAGAAGGTGGTCCTTCAGAGACCCTGATCCGAAGCCATGTAGGGCTTTAAAGGTCAAAAACGACACCTTGAATTGGGCTCTGGAGTGGATCAGTAGCCATGATCTCGGTAGCTGGCCCTGACCAGCAGTCTAGCCGCAGCCACACTCTATTAAAACTATCATTGCAGTGATCATGTGATGAATCTTTCATGAACGCCATTCTCCCCCTCCCCTCCCCAGCTGCAGATAAAAACACCTTTTGCAATGTTTGCACTCAAATGCCACTTAAATCCAGAATATTTACAGTGAATTGTTCCCAAATTAGCGACGAGACCAAGCACTATTAACAGGAGAGCAGCTGGAGCCAATCATTAAAAATCAGAGATGCATATTCATGGGGCATTCTTAGAAGAGACATCCAAGCCGAGCAGTATGACTCACCGATCATCCAAAGAGGAAAGAATGACCATAAAATATGGAGATCTCCTAAGCTACACACACACCCCTCCGGTGGTGGGGCTTGCTCAAGTTTATTCCGAGCACAGTAGGATTTCATTCACATATTTATCAAAGAAATTGGAGTTAGAATCCTGCCAAAGCTGCCCATTAAGTTTTGCATTATATCTGGATGGTGCCAAGCTTTTATTTCTTGTGCCACTTTTATTTCTTGTCCCGATTTGGGTGCCTCCCCCACCGAGATTAGGTGGCTGTCAGCCTGGGAGAGGGGTTTCTCGGCTGTGGCACCAAGACTCGGCAACACTTGACTCACCTGTCTCCTCCTGTGGTCTTCCGCCAGCCACTGAAGACTGGTTTTGTCTGCTGTTCCCTCAATGATTCCTCCTTTTGGCCTTATGTTTTAGTTGCTTTTTATGTTTTTTGTATCTGCTTTTTTGCTCAGTTTTAATGACGTGTCTTTGGCTTTAATTGTTTTTAAGAACTGGATTGTTGTTTTTTACTATGTATGTCTTTAATAAGTTAGTCACCTTAGGAAAGAAAGGCAGGGTGTAAATTTTGTAAATGAGTACATACAAATTCTTATACCACTATTTCTTGATCCAATCCCTGTAGGCCTCGAACCTGAAACAGTTTCTTTCTGACAATGATGGGACAAAGGCACATAACCAGGGATCAGACCTGGAAATAATCCAGCATCCCAACTCTGGTCCCATATCTACTCAGGACCTAAAAAGAGAACCTAAAAATATCAGCTGTACCCAGGGGTCATTTCCATCCGGAACGCCCCGGGATGGCGTTCCGGCAGTAATGAGCACAGGTGTGGGCACATGCAGCCCCCAGCAGCCCTCAGTTGGGCCACGAGGAGCGGGAAGCAGCACATGCTGTCTCTGCTTGCCCAGAAGGAAGGCAAGGTAAGTTGGTGGGGCCCTGGGGGTGTAGGGGGAAGGAGCTTGTTTCAGGTGGGGTGGGTGGGAGCCCCCTGGCATTCCCTGGCCTGCCCACCTCGGCGGGCGAGCCAGGAAAGACCCTGTAAGGAGTGGGGAGGCATTTAAATACATCCCTGTGCCTTCCCTGGCCCTCCCGCTGAAGTGGGCGGGCTGGGGAAGGCCTGGTAAAAGCCCCCCTAGCCTTCCCTGGATGCCCGCTGGGATGGGCAAGCTGGGGAAGGCCCTTGAAGGAGCGGGGAGGCATTTAAATGCCTCCCCGTGTCTTCCCTGATATCCTATGGTCCCAATGGAGTGATTGTGCTATCGCTGCGGCGCAACTCCAGATAGAAGGGGCCACAGCGACGCCGCAGCGGCGGCCTGATCACTACATTGTATTCTATGGGGCCATCGGATACCATGAGAGATCATGCCACTGGAGCGGTGCAACCTTAGAGAGAAGGGGTTTAAACTTTAAAACCTTTCTCTCTCTGCTTCCCCCGCCAGCCCGCTTTGGCAGGCCACCTAGGAAAGGGAAGGGGAGGCTTTTAAAGATGCCTCTCCAACCTTTCTTTGCTTCAGCCAGCCAGCCTTCCAAGTCGGGCTGGTTGGGGAAGCTAAGAAAGGTTGGGGAGGCATCTTTAAGAGCCTCCCCTTTGCTTCCACAACCAGCGTGTCTTGTCAGGCTGGCTGGGGAAGCAAAGGAGAGGTGTTTAAAGATGCCTCCCTGTCTTTTTTTTTTTTTTGGTTTCCCAGCGGGGAAGCAAAGCAAGATGGGGGCGGCATCTTTGAATGCCAGGTGTGTGTGGCATATGCAAATAAGTTATGCTAATGAGTTATGCTAATGAGCTTCTGCACTTCTTTTTCTACAAAATGACCCCTGGCTGTACCCACTTGGCACATCTACTTGCCCCTTCTTGTATCAAGGAGTCCAATGGAGACTCCGGACTAGGTTTCTTGTGAATCCTTAAAGGGCACAATGGCTCCTGCATCGTTCACTAAGGCGGCCTAGGCCCAAGGCCAAAACTCCACCCTTTGCCTTCCTGCTTCCTGTTTCCTGTCCCACACGACTACAGCTCTCAGCAGGCTCTGTTGTTTAAAGCCACAGCTATAGCGAAGAACACCATGCCCTTCCAATGTGATATATTGGGTTGCCAGACCCCTGGTCTGACCAGGGGATTCCCCGGTCTTTGGGGCTCCAATCCACCGTCAATCAGCTGGCCAGCGGGGGAAGCCCCACCTCTGAACAGGAACATCGCCTGGAGATTTGGAGATTGTAAACTGCTCTGAGACGCTGAGTGAAGGACAAGGTATAGATCCAATCTCTCTTCTCTTCTCTTCTCTTCTCTTCTCTTCTCTTCTCTTATCCTGTACTGAAGTAAGCTATGGCCAACCAGCTCTGCATCTCTTACCTTGAAAACCCCATGAGGTGGAACTAGCGTTTCCAGCTTTGGACTAGGAATTTGGGGGTGGAGACTGAGGAGGCTGAAGTTTGGGGAGGGGAGGGATTTCAGTGGAGTATAATGCCACAGAGTCCACCTTCCAAAGTGGCCATTTTCTCCATGGGAACTGATGCAGTTCCGCAGGGCCTGCAAGACGGAGCTCTTCCGCCAGGCCTTCGCATAGGGGCCGCCGCCGCCACCACCACCAATGGTGGCAACAGCATCAAGATTAGGAATTGCCCTTGAAAGCTCAGCCATAAACTGTGTGGCAGTTTGGTATTGGCTTGAACCATCGACTGGACAGTGATACCCTAACGGGGAGGATCGAAGATGCCATCAGAACCACTCGAGAACCACTTAAGACCATCTCGTTTATAGGAAGCACTTTATTATTGTTATTATTGTTATTATTTATGATTTTACTGTTTTATCTGGTTTTATGGATGGGCTTATGCCCCTTGTAAGCCGCCCTGAGCCCGCTTGCGGGGAGAGCGGGGTAAAAATACCTAAATAAATAAATAAATAAAAAATAAATCTGTGTCTCCTGGAGATGAACTGTAACATCCCATGATATCTTTAGCCCCTACCTGGAGGATGGCAACATTAAATGGAACGTCACGGGGCCGCCATGAGTCACGTGCGACTCCACGGCACACTTTACTTTTAATCACGGTTTTTATCTCACTGTTCACTGCTTTCAGAAACGTGTTTCTCTGCCGTTATGGGAGCATTGGTTTCACTGTGGTGCGGGGTTATTTACTTTCCCCTTTCCCCCGGCCAAAAGAAAAGCGGGCAGCATGCCAGGGGTTGGGAAGCCAATTTCACAGGAGCCGGTATTATTTCTCATGACTCGGAAGAAGCTCTCATTAAAGAAAAAGTTGGCAATCCCTGCTGCTAAAAAGGAGACTCCAGCTTGAATCTGTTGAACTAGAATTCATCAAGAGCTTTGACACAATTTCCCCTTCAGGGCAGAATGGCGACTTGGGACTCCTTAGTCATTATAGGTGTTAACAGTCTTGGTAAAAACCTGGACTCCGCGGCCATTTCTGTGCTAAGCAGCTTAGCAGTGATGCAGAAACTGCGGCTTTTGTGAGCGTGTTTTCCTTGTAGTCTACAGAATTGTATCTCACCCTCTAATGTCTGCTTTCTCTGGCCCTTTTACCCTCCTGTTCTATTACCAACACCACCCTGCATAAATTCATTTGTAAATGACAGCCTGGTAAAGACCTACCGTCATTTATTTAAATCCTGTCTTTCTCACCAGTGCGGACCCAAAGAGGCCTACGTTGTTCTCCTCTCCTCTGTTTTATCCTTACAACAACCCTGTGAGGTAGGTTAGTGGTTAGGAGCGTGGACTCTAATCTGGGAGAACCGGGTTTGATTCATGTACCCATGCACGTATACACATACAGCAGAACAAAAGGTAAAGGCAAAGGTTCCCTTGCTGGAAAGCCAGTCGAGTCCGACTCTAGGGTTGCGGTGCTCATCTCCGTTTCAAAGCCGAAGAGCCAGCGCTGTCCGAAGACGTTTCTGTGGTCATGTGGCCGGCATGACTAAACAACAAGGCGCACGGAATGCTGTTACCTTCCCACCGAAGTGGTGGGAAAGCGCTGGCTCTTCGGCTTTGAAACGGAGATGAGCACCGCAACCCTAGAGTCGGACTCGACTGGCTTTCGAGCAAGGGAACCTTTACCTTTTACCTTTTTCCTTCATGATAGAATTCGCAGTTAAAAGGATCAGATAGTCAATGACGGGAAAGACCTCAGTCTGAGACCTTGGAGAGCAGCTGCCAGTTAGAGCAGACAATGTTGACCTTGACAGATGAATGGTCTGAATCGATATAAGGCCGCTTCAAACATTTATTGCATGTGTGGCTTGATTTGTACTGTGTGGGCTTCCATTTTATGCTACTATGCTTCATTTCAGAACCTGAATGTAACTGTTCTTTTTAAACAAATCCTAACAATAAATATTCTTGTTCCACATGTGTACTGAGCGGGAGTTTTCCATCTGTCGTGGAAGTGTCCTACAATTTTAATTATAGCCAGCGTGGATGAAGAGTGGAGAGAAATGGGGAGGCCATGGGGTTCTTACGACTCTCTGCTTCCTCTTCCCTGCAGTACGTCGCTCGAAAGCTGCCGACGAAGAAAGGAGCCATAAAGCACGGCGGGCTCGGGATGAGTATCGGCGGCAGTCCCTGCGGGCCATCCAGAAAGGAAAAGTCGCTGGCCTAAGCAACCTGTTCCAAGGAGCTGGTCTGAATAACGAGCCAGAGGCCAAGCTGGCCATCTCCTGTCCTGTCCCGCCACTGACCGTGAAGGTACCAACCAGGTTGGTTTGCATGGGGATGTAGACTTGATCTGTATCGCTTCCAGATGGGAGTCACGCCTGTCCTGGCTCTATATGTGAATTGGCCTGGACTGTATGATTATTGATTTGTCGGAATAAAGTCAGAAAGGTTGTTGTGACGACCCCTTATTTGGGGAGGTCTGGTATCCCTTTAAAAGTGTTCTTTATGTTTTGCTCTCAGGGTAATCTGGCTGCCACCAGGAAAATTTAAGGCTTTCCACACCTTTATACTAATATATTTCTTCTTCTGGTTTTGGTATTGTGACCCAGGGTCTGGGCTTTCGAAGGACTATGTGTTTCCTGGGAAGAATTTCGTTCAGAATTTGTGTCTTAAATAAAAGTAGATTTATTTGATGTTCACACATTCTTCCCTCTTATTGACAGGGATCAGGGCATGTCACTTTGTAACAATATTTTCCTTAGGCCATATATGATTACTGTTTCTTTATGCTTTAACTTTTCATAACACACACAAGACTTCTCTCTCTCAGACCTTAAAACGAACAAACGGCTTAACTCTTTTACTACACAGAACCAAATCTTTCCTTCACAGGGATGAGTCTTCTTCAACTCAGAGACAGAACTTAACTGACTACCTAACTGTCTTTATCAACTGTCATCCATAACAGACACACCAGATAGACATTCCAATCATCCACACAGCATCCATTCCACCCTCCCCCTCTCTGTCACTCACCAATCATACCACTTGCCTGCTTCCAGCACTCTAGAATATCACAGCCATGCAAACTAAACTTTTAAAGACACACACACACATAAACATGAAATCGTTACAGTTGTGATTCTCAAAAAGGCTTGAAAGGCGTACTCTTGAATATATTCAAAATTATATTGCACGAAAATGACTCTCCCTACCTACAGCATACGAGAAGTATCCTAGCACTGTTAAGGTGTGAAAACGACACCAAATGTAGACCGCTTTTCTGAAGACGGAGTCAGAAGGCTGGGACACTGGTGGGAAAGACAAATGCAGATTCGACCTGAAGCAAAGCATGAGGGTCAACAGCAGGATCCTCGTTTCAACAAGCTATACACAGTGGTGTAGACCACAGTCCCTAACAGTTTTTCTAAGTAACGTCGTGAATCACTCAGTACAGGGCAACCCTACGGGCTGTGTAGAAAAGCCCCCTTGGGTAATTCAGTTTTGCATAACGGTGGGAGCCTTTCTGACATAAGCACAGTAAAGCAGGTGTGGGAAAGACAGGGAAAAGCTGGGAGGGACACAAAATCACTGCAATGTGTGTGGAGGTGACGGCGGCGGCGGCGGTGGGGACAACGACACTTCCCAGTAAGATATAAGCCAAGGCAAACAACCCATGTGTAAGGGCATTTCTGTTGGCGTGAGGGCCTCAGCATGCCTGGACACTGGGGGGCGCTACATCACTCCGAGTGTATATACGTGTTACCTCCTTGAATGGGATGCCTCTCTTTGTCTTAACCCGGGAGCTGCCCTTTGACCCTCCTCTCTCCTCCCTTTTCCCTCCTGCTCTCTCTCCCATCTCTGCACATGGCCTTCCATGGAGACAAATGTTTCTGCACATGTGATGCCAGACAAGCTGGCCATTTGTGACAGGAAAAGTACTCTTTAGCTTAGGCTTCTCTCTCCCCTTTTGACTGTAACCTGAATGTGAACTGGATCTACTTGGACTTTTTTTTTTGCAATATACTTCATGGGAGATTCCTTCACTGCACTCAGTGTCACGCTTCTACGACTGGACAAAACTCTGCTATATTAACCAAATATCCCAATCATTTATAGAATCATAGAGTTGGAAGGGCCATACAGACCATCTAGTCCAGTGGTGGCGAACCTACGGCACGGGTGCCAGAGGTGGCGCTCAGAGCCCTCTCTGTGGGCACGCGAGCCATCGCCCCAGCCAAGCCCAGACCATCATTAAAGTGTCGAATTCTCTGCCAAATAGTTTTAAGTAAATGAAAGCATTTGGGATTGCTTTCCTTTCGATGTTTGGATCCTCTTAAGTTAATGTACGAGTTGTTTTTTCTAAAGTAAAACCTCAGTGTTCAGGTTAAATTGCCGTGTTGGCACTTTGCGATCAATAAGTGGGTTTTGGGTCGCAGTTTGGGCACTCGGTCTCTAAAAGGTTCGCCATCACTGATCTAGTCCAACCCCCTGCCCAATGCAGGACCAGCCCAAAGCTTCCCTGACATATATTCGTCCAGCCTCTTCTTGATTTCTGCACTCTCGTACTTCTGCAGCTTGGTTCCAGGCCTTATTGTTTTATCCCATAGCTAAGACATGGTACCATCTGCTGATAGTTGACCACAGTTAAATGTAGTTGCTTCATGCAGGCTGTAGTACAATGGAAAGCAACTTTTGATCTTTGAATAGTCAATTATCCATTTAGTGCATTTTTACACACACACCCCTCCACAGAACTCAAGGCAGTAGACATGGATCTCTCTTCGTTTTATCTTCAGGTCGGCTAGATGTTTGGATTTGTAAATCTGGGTTGGGAAATTCCTGGATATTGTAGGGGTGGAGCCTGTGGAGAGTGGGTTTTGGTGTATAATGTCCCTCAGTGGGGTATAATGCCATAGAGTCCACCCTTCAAAGCAGCTGTTTTCTCCAGGGGAACTGATCTTTGCAGTCTGGAGATTTTGTAAACCCAGGAGATCTCCAGGTTCCACCTGGAGGTTGGCAAACTTACTAAGTGTGCAAGAATGCCTGGCCTAAGGCTACCTAGTAGTTTTTGTGGCAAGCAGGGATCTGGACACAGATATCTTCAGCCCTTGTTCCACCTTTTAACCACTACACTGAGTGGGCTGCTATGCTGCCGTATGAAGGGTGTTGTTAGCCTTGCTTTGAAGATGGCTTGAAGAACGGGACGTACCAAGGCCATGTTGAGTCAGACCGGAGATCTGTGTAGCTCCCCTTTCCGTTTTTTTCTACTGTGGCCAGCTCCTCTGACTCAGAGACACAGGGGAGCTTAAAAGGAAGGTGTGAGATCAGTGATACGCCCCCCCAGTCTTAAGCTCCTGCTTCATGCAGTCAGAGGTGAATTCGGTTTGTGCTTCTAGCCATCACAGCGAGCAGCTACCGACCGATCTGCCCTCCATGTGTTTTCTCTAATCCTTTTAAAAGCCAGTTTTGCTCTTGGCCATCACATAACATGGTGTGCGTGAAGAAATACTTCCTTTTTTAGTTTTCATAAACCCGCAGCCTATCCGTTTCGATGGATGATCTCCGGAGTGTTTTGTGCTTTGAAGACGAGTGAATCATATCTCCATGCTATTCATTCTCTCCGCACCTCTCGCAATCGCACACGGATCTCCCTTATCGTGTTCTTCCTTGGTCTTCTTTTCGCAGATGAAAAGCTCTGAGTGTTTAAATGCAGCATATTCCCTGCAGCAACTCTCTTAGCACACACCGGGCCACCCAGCGTCTGGGGTGCAGAACGGCTCATGGTTGTATCACAACGGTGTCTCCTAGTGTCCTATTATACTTCTCTGAGTAGGAGGGAGTGGGCAGCCGCTCACTTATATGAGAGAGCACTGCCATTGCGATCAGGGTTTAAGCTTGCTTTTTGTCACAGGGACAGACCTCTGTCTCCATGGCCCCATCTGGCAATTGTTTTGTGTTAACAGGGAAAAGAAAACATTTTTGATATGGGTTTGGCAGGACCCAAACCTGTCCCCTTAGGGCTGCAAAGTCTTTGCTCTTATGACATCTAGCAACCCAAATGAAGCAGGGTCAAAGTAGGACCAAAGGAAGCCCGGTCGATTCTGCCCCGGTATATCTGTTCTGTTTTGACAGGCCATCATTTTCTCTTGCTGTCCTTCCGTACAGAGTCTTGCCTCTGATCATGGCTGTTCACTTTCCCAGCTCAATTAGGGAATCAAATTGGCACCCTCTGAGAAGCATTAGGCTCCCTGTGTTTGCTCATGACCCACTTGTCAAACAGTTGTCATGTTCAAGGCCGTACCTGATGTTTTCCTAAAACAAGCCTCTGGAATGCACAACACAGTTGATAACGAGCAAAACAAGTGTCGTGTTCAGGACAGAGCGTGGTGCTTTTTACTCTACCCGGAAGACTGGGATGCACAGATGTAATCATGATCGATTGAGCCAAAAACAAGAGATGAGAATAAAGTCAACAAATCAACACAGAGTCTGAGAGCTGGAGGTTCAGCCGAAGAGCCAGGGGTAACAGAAAAGTCTGGGGGTCAAGGTCCAAGGCTTGGAAACCAGGGCAGGAGACAGGGCCCAGATTGCTAGCTGCAAAACAAGCACAGGTTAGCAGAACAAGATGCAAGGCGGGACACAGGCAATACTCTGTTTGCTGAGTGGGTCAGCTCACAGAGGGTTAGTAGGGAGGTTGCTTCCATGGTGAACTCCACTCATTGTCTTCCTTTTATTACCCTAATTAGCTGACTCATGCTGGAAGCACAGGCGTTACTTTTCACTGGCTTGTTATTCTTGTTTCTGAAAGGACTCAGCTTCAGTAACTAAAGCTGAATGCCCTTGTACAATTAAACAGGCACTTCATCTATCCTGGGCTGTCAAACACTCTAGACGTCTTCTGCTGTCAGCTGGTTCAGGAGATGCCAGTGGTGATGAGACTCTCTGTCCCCTTTCTTTCATCTCCTGCCAGAATGAGCAACCCTTGCCTCCTGATGGAGGAGGCCCTCCCCCGGCGCAGGGCTTGATGCTTCCATTTTCTCATTCTTAGAGAAGGAGGCAGCTGACTGGCTCACAACAACAATATTCTCCTTATTTTTCTGTTATCCTGTGCATCTTAAATCAAAGTGTTTTCACAGAAATCAAGTGATGAAAATGTTTATGCTAGTACTACATTTTAAGGACAGTTAGATACGGTTACGCATCTGGCTCCAAACCCTACTGATGTGGTGCCTTCAACTGCAATGGTGGGACAAGACGGCATTCTAAATTTTCAGGTGCTGTAGCGAAGACCTTTTAAAAGGGAAGGACCATGATCCAATGCTGTTTATCCATAATATTATCACTTTGTTTGGTGTAGTGGTTAGGAGCATGGACTCTAATCTGGGAGAACTGGGTTTGATTCCCCACTCCACATGCAGCTGCTGGTATGACCTTGGGTCAGTTACAAGTTCCTTCAGAGCTGTTCTCTCAAGAACAGTCCTCCAAAGAGCTCTCTCAGCCCCACCTACCTCACAGGGTGTCTGTTGTGGAAAGGGGAAGGGAAAGGAGATTGTAAAATGCTCTGAGACTCCAAGTGAAGGGTGGGGTATAAATCCAATCTCCTCCTCCTCCTTCTATTGAAAAGTCAGGTAGTATTTTAGAGGCTATCATTATACAGAGCTAGATAATACATCTGATTGTCAGTTCACGAGGAGGAGAAGAAGAAGAGAAGAGATTGGATTTATACCCCACCCTTCATTACCCAAAGGTGTCTCAGAGCAGCTTACAAACTCCTTTCCCTTCCCCTCCCCACAACAGACGCCCTGTGAGGTAGGTGGGGCTGAGAGAGCTCTGACAGAAACTGCTCTTTTTCAAGAACAGCTGTTCCAGAACTGTGGCTTGCCCATGGTCATCCAGCAACTGCAAGTGGAGGAGTGGGGAATCAAATCTGGTTCTCCCAGATTAGAGTCCGCGCACTTAACCACTACACCAAACTGGCTCTACACAAACCACTACACCAAAGCAATCATCTATGTACATATGCCATTTATACCCTGCTTCGCCCCCCCATGGGGATCCTAAGCAGCTTACTTTGTTCTTCTCTCCTTCAGACCTACTTAAATCCTGTGTTTTGATAATTTCTTTTCCACTCTCACTTTCTGTGTCATCAGTCAAATCTGTGGATAGTTGGCCAGTGTCTGAAGGATCAAAATTATTTGTGAGGACAGAGAAGTATCACCCAGAGAAGTGACATCACATCACTGTCCGTGATGTATATTCCACAGGTGATGCTTTAGGATTTTCCCCAATCTCTGTGGTAGAGACCATAGAGATTGGAAAAATTCCTAGAGCATCACCCTCAATGCCATTCTCCCCCCCCTCAATTTTTCTCCCACCACTAAAATTAGTGATTGTATAATAATACTGATGTAAGCTGCACTGAGCCCTGCTTGCAGGTAAGGGCGGTCTAGTAAATCTAATTTAATAAATAAATAAATAAATACAGTGCAGGGGTGGGGTCTGAGGGAAGAGGCAAGAGGTTGCCCACTGCCACCAGCCAAATGGCAACCACGGGGGAAACAGAAGGGTTTTTGGTTTTTTTGCCTCTCAGGAGCAAGCGGTCTCTTCCTTATTTAGTTTGTAGTCAAACTGTTCCTATTCCCCCCCCCCAATCCATGAAGGGGAGGGGCTTGACTTGCTGTTTCTCCTGTCTATTGAAAAGCAGGCAAAATTAAAACTTCTTTTTCCCTAGCGAGTGCCTTCTCTTTATCTAGACATAGCCTAACTTCCCAAGAGTAAATAAAGAGGTTCTCATGTTCTCAACAACTGCAATGCACCCCGGTGCATTTCTTTATGAACCAACTTGGCTAATACAAACCAACATTTGGCTTGGCTGGTTAAAACTAGGGGGGCAAACCGAGCGAAACAGCTAGATTCAGGTCCAGTAGCGCCTTAGAGACCAACAAGATTTGGGGGGGTTATAAGCTTTTAAGAATCAAAGTTTATACCCCCAAAATCTTCTTCGTCTCTAAGGTGCCACCAGACTCAAAGATGGCTGTTCTACTTCAGACTAACATGGCTGCCCTCTGAAACCAAGTGAAGGTGTTTAGTGGGTGAGTAAATCTGTTTCTAATTCGTTTATTCATTAAGTAGTTACATATTGCAGAACTTTATGGAGAGGGGGCAGTTTCTCTTCAGAGGGCCTTAATAAGAAAGGACAGTTTTTTTTAAGTATGAGGGTGAATAAAGCCAATATTAAGTGGAAACTGATCAATTTTTCAGTGTAAGTTCGAAGTTTCAGTGTAACTGATCGAAGCTTCAGTGTAAGCTGGTTGTTGGTAACATCCTATCAGTTGAAGGGAAGAATTTTACCATTGGAGACGTTCGTTGGATTTCTGATCAGATTGTAGAAGTACAGTGCAATTTTCCTCATTGTTTTGAAATCCCCGGAGGGATATGTTTTATTATTTTTTTATAAGACTACAAAAGTACGAAGAAAATATGAGGGAGGGCGATTTTCCTCAATGTTGACAAGATATTGTTGACAGAATGGCTAACTTTGTTGTTGTTGTTGTTCAGTCGCACAGTCGAGGCCGACTCTTCGTGACTCCATGGACCAGATCAACAACACGCAAGTCCTTCCGGTCTTCCGTCGTTCTCTGAAGTTTGCTCAATTTCATGTTCGTTGCATCTATGACACTGTCTAACCATCTCATCCTTTGTCGTCCCTGTCTTCTTTGACCTTCAATCTTTCCCAGGGTTCATTTAACCATGAGGTAAACCTAACTTTACCTCAAGGTTAAATGAACACTGTGGCAACTTGCCATTTGGTAAATGGTCTTTTGTGTTCATACGAAGTTAAATGATAATTTAATTAATGTAAACTATCATTTACTGTTCGGGGGAAAATGCTATCTTTCCAGGTCCTGTGACTTGTAAAAGTTTTCAGTTAAGCAGCTAGTGCTCACCACAGAGAAGCCATATTAGGGACCGCCCTTATAATGACTAATGTTCACATAACCCCATGCATACTTCATGAGAGCCAGTGTGGTGTAATGCTTAAGAGCGGTGGACTCTAAGCTGGACAACCGGGTTTGATTCCCCCACTCCTCCACATGAAGTCCGCTGGGTGATCTTGGGCCAGTCACTGTTCTGTCAGAACTCTCTCAGCCCCACCTACCTCACAAGGTACCTGTTGTAGGGAGAGGAAGGGAAAGGTGATTGTAGGCCACTTTGAGACTCCTTAGGGTAGAGAAAAGTAGGATATAAAAACCTCTTCTTCTTCATAAGCAAGGAAATTTGTAGGAGAGCATAATCTCAAAGAGGCACAACTACTCTCTGTTTGGGAAGATGCTACTGCTCTTTAATAATCCCCTCATGTTTGGACTGACTCCTCAATTTTCCCTCACAATTTGGAGAAGACATTTTTTTTGAAAGGTTGAAGGTTGCTTGTAGAAACAATAGTTGCCTGCATGACTTGTAAAAAGAGAGAGCACAAAAGAGAAGTCCCTTTTATTTGGTAACCTTGGTATGATTCGTTTCTTGCAGCATGATCTCTGCCTGCCTCTAAACCTCTCATTTCTTTTTTTAAAATTTAATACAGAAAAGCTTGGGAGCGGCCTCTGAGGCCTTTCTCCAGAGAAGTCATCATTCAGTGGTTCAAAGTGGAACAGCTGCCACGACGTGCTGGATTTGAAAGGAACACGAACACTATTGCTCCGTGGTTTCATGGTAAGCATTCTTGAACAGGAAATGCTTTTTTTCTTGACTCTACGGCTAGTCGCAGCCATGCGTACCTGGAGATGTTCATTTGTTTCCTGAAGGTCATTGGAAGGCATGAGATGATCTCAATCCTAGGCCTCAGAGCATCCTTTTGACAAAAATAGTGCAAAGTGAATATGTGTGTGTCTCTGAAAACAGTGTTTCTTCAGCCTCTTCCGTATTACTGTAACACTCTCTACATGAGGCTGCCTCTGTTGCAAATCTGGAAGCTACAGCTGGCGCAGAATGCTGTGGCCAGGCTGCTGGTGGGCGCCCCTAGGTGGGAGCACACCCGACCTGTACTGAAAGTGCTGCACTGGCTCCCTATAGCATACTGGATTCGCTTCAAAGTGCTGGTGCTTACCTTTAAAGCCCTACATGGCTTTAAAGCCATACCTGAGGGACCACATTTCCCCATATATTCCCCAAAGAGCACTTAGGTCGGGGTCACAACACCGGCTGGTCACCCCGGGCCCTAAGGAGGCCAGACTTGCTGCAACGAGGGCCAGGTCCTTTTCAGTGGTGGCTCCTATCTGGTGGAACGAGCTCCCAGAG